TCCACTTTCTTAAGTTTCCCTTAGAAACTGATAAAAATTATACTGACTATAAGAGAGTAACTTAGCTAACAGGAATTCGTTCCCATTTCTGACGGTTCCTTTTTCTACTGCTTATTTACAGTTAAATGTTAAATCCTTGACTGCTTTGGATATCACATTAAATTCTTATTCGCGTAATATCTTGAACTGTTTACAGTCTTGAAATTAATTCTAGACTGAACAAATTCTAAATTTAACTATCCTGCGTTAATTTTCAGAAATGACGTTGTTTCTGACGGTGTCAACTCCCGAGTTCACATTATACCCTTCTACTATGGGTATTTATCTTCTGACTTTAACCTAGCTGTCTGGCAATTAAGGATTTTCTCTTTTTTTTAAAAATGTCAATGCGTTTTTTTTTTTTTTTTACGCTGCTAACATCATGCTGTGTTTGGAGATTCTTGAAATTAAGATTCTCAAACTATACTTGTACTGAAAATTATTCCGCCTTAAAGTACGGCAAGAATTTATCGATCGAATTTACTTGATCGAAAACATGAACTTAACATGAAATCTGCTACAGAATTTAGGAATACATCTATTGATTCCATAAATCCTTCAGTCACATAATATTTTCTAGGAAAATCCTTGGCTTAAATAAATAAATTGTATTATTTAAAGTCTGGAATTTTCTCAGTCATTACAATAAATAGGAGTCTGGCAATAACTCATGATTAAGATCGTTCCATATATGATCATCGGTAGACTCAATTAGAATTTCTATACTTAATTGAAATTATCAGAAATTCATATTGTGTCTGTGTTCTGGTTCCACACTATCTCATTATACGTAATACACTCATTTAATATCTCCTCACATTAACAGTGCAGATAACACCATCCATTCTAAATGAGAATGACATGTATTAGTAATGTTTTAATTAAAGATTTTAAATTTTTATTAAATTCATCACGAACATCATTTTAATTATTATTCTTAAATAATATCCTCTTGCATATAACATTAATATACAATATTTAAGATCACATAAATAATCATGAAATTTTCAGTGATATTCATAAAATATTCAATTATGTATGCACATAAAATAATAAATAAACTCTTTTATTAAATTAATAATAAATATCATATTACATATCATACTTTTAAGACATCATTCCCAACATCAACATTTTGTCATTTATTTTAAACTTTGCTAGAAATCATATTTCTTTCTTCGGTCATTATCGTTTTCCGAGAATTGTATCGTTTTACATTTATATCGTTCTCTGTATATTGTCGTTCATTTCGGCGGTTGTCGTTTCTAATTTAATGTGGATATTTTAGTTTGTTATCGTTTACTGCTTAGCAACCCGAAACGTGAGTGGGGATGACTACACCTTACGACTTGATTACGGACGCATGTCACCAAAAGCATTTGATACTGTTGACGTTTTGCGTGGTAACTGTCGTTTACACAGTGGTTGTTGACATTTTTTCTAGAAGTTGTCATTTATTTGGGTATTGTCGTTTCTAATTGATGTCGTTTTTTCAGCATGGTGTCATTTTTTGGATTTTTTTTTTTTTTTTGAAGTATGGACCAAAGATATCATGCCATTGGCTACATTCCCTAGAAATAGGAGATTATTTCTTATTTCAAGACCAAGAGATAGGAGACAACTAGAAGTATAAAGGATCTTTAATGTGATTTTGACGTAGTAAATGCATGTAAAAAATAGGAAAAATAGATAAATTTCTAAAATTCGTTGATCACTTAAAATTGCGAAGGATGAGTTGATTCAATTATAATGCTAAAAAAATAAGATTTTTATAAATCTGTTGATTTACTAGGAAAATAAACATTAATCACTATTAATTCGACATAATACTGAGAGAATTGGAATAACTTTGTTCAAAGAACTCTTCAAGCATATATCTTTATTAATCATTAAAACTAACCGGGAACTCTCCAAGCATATATTTTTATTAATCATCAAAAATAACTATGCTATAAGCCCTCTTTAAATTCGGAAATTAAACTAAAGGAAAGTGAGCTATTCTAGAATATTGAAATAAGGATAGTCAAACGGGAAATAACAAACTAAAAATAAACTTTAAAACGGGTAACTAGAAATAAATTTTGAATTTGGTAAGTCTACCGTCCGAATAACCGGACGTGTCCAACAAATTAACCGCTTGATCCTCCACGCGTTGCACTATACTTTCACTCTAATAATAGAATATTGGGATACGTGAGAAAAATCATTCTTTAAAGTATTGTTTTAATAAATACCTTAAGTTTTCTTAAACAAAAATAAATAGTTGCTTTTTAAAAAATGGTCAATCCGGGGTTGATATATTTGTTTCAGGGATTCTTCATTGATTTAAATTTACAGTTTTGATTTTGCTACAATATTTTTTATAATAAAAAGAATTTAAATTTTAAAAATTATAATTAAAATTACTGTTTTAAATCTATATACTAAATAAGCTCTAATTTTTTTTTAAAAAAATAATAACAAAAATTAAAAGAAAAGAGAAAAGAAAAGAAAAACCACCTTTTGACACGGAAAAAATAATTTACTCAAGCTGGCATGTAGAAAGTTCATAGAAAAGTGAGCCGAAGCCTGTAAATAATAATAAAAAAAGAAGAAGAAGGAGGAGAATTTATGGCAAAGAGTGAAGAGGGGTAACAAGTAGCATGCATGTATGTGTATGGGTGGTAGTGGAGAAGAAATAACTATTGTTGGAAAGACTAGCTATGCACCACTCACCCCCAACGGTCTTCACTCAAATCATTACAACCCATGACTCTTAATCATATTATGCTCTTAACCCAATATTCGTTTTAATGCCTCATTATTCGCAATCTATATTCAAACCATACCGAATTCTAAGAATTAAGAAGAACAAGACAACAAAACAAGGGAAGAAGAAGAACAATTGTGTTTTTTTTCTTTTTCTTTTTCTTTTTTTCTTTCCCCCTCTATTGTTTTTGGTTGGATGTGGAAGTGCTGAAGCGTTGACTTGCAAATAATTGATGTTTCAGCATGATCACTACTGCTTCAGATTGTGACTCTCACTTAATTCTCTCATATGAATATGAATGTGTGAATAGTTTGCTCTTTTTAGCTGTCTAGTTTCAGACGTCTCTGTACCCACCCCTATCCTTTGATGTCTGCCTCTCCTTCTCTCTCTCTGTCAAAGTGGGTAAACAAAACATCTCTCTCTCTCTTCCTTATCTCTCTCTCTCTCTGCCTTTTATTGAATGCTTTGTAAGTTTCAGTTGGATTCTCAGAGACCCTTTAGTTAATGCCATCCACCGCTTAGCTAATTAGCTAATTAGTTAATGCCTTTAGTTTTCTTGGCTTTGTTATCACACATATGCATGCATTTAAACCCTCACACCATCGTCACCTCTGTTAAGTATTCTCTTTCTTTCTTCCTTTTCCTTTTTCATCCATAGATACATAGATCATGAAAAGATATATGTGTCATTACTCTCTTTCTTGATTTGTCTATTGTTTATTGCAAAATATGGGAAAAGGGTGTTCTCCACAAATCCCAAAGCTACTCATTCACCACTCTCTAATCATCTTTTCCTTCATAGTTGGCCTCACAGATTCCCTAAATGAAGAGGGTCTTTTTCTTTTGGAGTTCAAAACATCCCTTTCTGACCCAAACAACAATCTTCATACTTGGAATAACAGCAGCAATTCATCTCCTAATGAAACTCCTTGCAATTGGATGGGAGTAAAGTGCAGTGCTGACTTTAAGGTAACTTCTTTGCACCTTAGTGGCCTTAATTTGTCTGGAACTTTATCTCCAACCATTTGTAATCTCCCTCATTTGACTGAATTTAATGTGTCCACAAACTTCATTTTTGGTCCCATTCCTAACGAGCTGTCAAACTGTCATAACCTACAAGTGCTAGACCTTTGTACCAATAGGTTACATGGAGAAATTTTAACCCCAATATGTGAAATCACCACCCTGAGAAAGCTTTACCTGTGTGAGAATTACATGTATGGAGAGTTGCCTGAGGAGGTTGGGAATTTAGCTTCTCTTGAAGAGCTTGTCATATATAGCAACAACTTTACTGGTAGCATTCCAGCTTCCATTAGTAAATTGAAACAGCTTAAGATCACCAGGGCGGGAAATAACTTCCTTTCGGGTTCGATTCCCAAAGAAATCGGCGAGTGTGAGAACTTGGAGGTTTTGGGATTGGCACAAAATGTGCTAGAAGGAGAGCTTCCTGCAGGGAGCTTACACAAACTCAAGAATCTCACTGATTTGATCCTTTGGCAAAACCGCTTATCCGGCTCCATTCCCCACGAAATTGGAGGTTTAAGCAGCCTGGAATTGCTTGCCTTGCATAAGAATGATTTCACTGGAATGCTTCCCACGGAGATAGGACACTTGTCCAATCTAAAGAGGTTGTACATATACACCAACCAGTTGAATGGGACGATCCCACGTTCATTAGGGAATTGCACCGATGCTGTTGAGATAGATCTTTCAGAGAATCAGCTCAGCGGATTCATCCCGAAGGAGCTCGGTAACCTCTCGAATCTCAGCTTGCTTCACCTCTTCGAAAACATGCTGCAAGGACGCATTCCTAGGGAGCTTGGACAGCTGAAGATGCTTCAGAACTTGGACTTGTCCATGAACAATTTGACAGGAGAAATCCCTTTGGAATTTCAGAATCTTCCTTACTTGGTAAACTTGCAACTCTTTGATAACCATCTTGAGGGCAGAATTCCTCCTCGCTTAGGAATCAATACCAACCTCACCGTTCTTGACATGTCTGCGAATAATCTTTCGGGTAAAATACCGGCACATCTTTGCAAGTATGAGAAATTGATGTTCCTAAGCCTCGGATCGAATAAGCTGTCCAGAAATATACCTTACGGCCTTAAGACCTGCAAGTCTCTTATACAGCTGATGTTAGGGGACAACAAGCTCGAAGGAAGCCTCCCTGTTGAGTTATTCCAACTTCATAATCTATCGGCACTTGAACTCTTCCGAAACAGATTCTCGGGGCCATTACTTCCTGAGATAGGGAGGCTTACGAAATTGGAAAGGCTGCTCTTGGCAAACAATCACTTTGTTGGGAAACTTCCTCCTCAGATTGGAAATCTAGTTCATCTTGTGGCATTCAATGTCTCCTCTAATGGGCTATCGGGAAACATCCCACGAGAGTTGGGGAATTGTGTGAAACTCCAGAGGCTTGATTTAAGCAGGAACACGTTCAATAGCTCTCTTCCAAAGGAACTTGGAGAACTGGTGAATTTGGAACTTCTGAAGCTCTCTGACAACAGATTGACAGGAGAGATACCGAGTACATTAGGAAGGCTAAACCGGCCCACAGAGTTGCAGATGGGAGGGAATCAATTTTCTGGCAGCATTCCAGTTGAGCTTGGCCAACTTACTTCATTGCAGATTGCTCTAAACATCAGCCACAATAATCTTTCTGGTCCAATTCCTGAGAAGTTGGGAAACTTGCAGATGTTGGAATCTCTCTACTTGAATGACAACAAGCTCGTTGGCGAAATCCCTGCGTCGATTGGCAATCTGCTCAGCCTCACTGTATGCAACCTCTCTAACAATGAATTGGTAGGAACAGTGCCAAACAGCCCCGCATTTCAAAGAATGGATGCCACAAACTTTGCAGGCAACAAGGGCTTGTGTAGATTGGACTCAAATGAGTGTCACGCATCTTCATCTCTCACTCAGAAACCTAGATGGTCAAAGAAAGGTCCATCAAAAGAGAAGTTGGTGGTCATCATCACCATTGTTGTTACCTTAATTTGTGTGTTTCTTATAGTGGGACTAATATGTGCAGTAAAGGGTATTCGTCGTCCCATCTTCCTTTCACTCGAGGATCAAACAAATCGTGAAGTTTTAGACTACTACTACTTTCCAAAAGAAGGATTTTCATACCAAGACCTTGTTGAAGCCACCAGCAACTTTTCCGAGGACACGGTTTTAGGAAGGGGAGCTTGTGGAACTGTCTACAAGGCCGTCATGAGCAACAGTGAAGTGATTGCTGTCAAGAAGTTGAAGTCGCGTGGAGAAGGTGCGAGTGTGGAGAGTAGCTTCAGAGCTGAAATTTCGACGCTTGGTAAGATCAGGCATCGGAACATTGTCAAGCTGCACGGATTCTGCTACCACCAGGACACTAATCTTCTCTTGTACGAGTACATGGAGAATGGAAGCCTAGGTGAAAAACTCCATGGCAACGAGCAGACTTGTTTGCTGGACTGGAAAGCGAGATACAAGATCGCTCTTGGAGCAGCAGAAGGCTTGTGCTATCTGCATTATGATTGTAAGCCACAGATCATACACCGCGACATCAAATCCAACAACATTTTGTTGGACAAGTTCCTGCATGCCCATGTTGGAGATTTCGGCCTGGCGAAATTGATTGACTTCCCTTACTCAAAATCCATGTCAACTGTTGCAGGCTCATATGGCTATATTGCTCCAGGTACATAATAGAAAATGAACATATATATATATTGTAACAGCAAAACAAAATAAGTTTTCCTAATTGATTGACACCATTTTTGGCGTGAATTTCAGAATATGCATACACAATGAAAGTGACACAGAAATGTGACATATACAGCTTTGGAGTGGTGTTGTTGGAACTGATAACAGGGAAGTCACCAGTTCAGCCATTAGAACAAGGAGGTGATCTAGTGACTTGGGTGAGGAGGGCAATAAAGAATGGAGTGCCAACAAGTGATATATTTGACAAAAGGCTTGATTTGAGTTTGCAAGCAACAGTTGAGGAAATGACTCTGCTTCTAAAGATTGCTCTGTTCTGCACAAGCACATCCCCAGTGAATAGGCCAACAATGAAGGAAGTCATTGCCATGATGTTCGATGTCCGGGAGGCGGCTGCAGTCACCAAAGAAACTTCATCATCTCCCTCCTCAGAAACTCCTTTGGAACATGATTCTTCATCTACAGGTTAGAATTCCCAAACACTTTTATCAATATACCAGAAATGCTTTTTCCATTTCCAAATGATTTGTGTTTTTTATTTTTTGTGCTTGCTATCCATTTTGTTGCGCAGATTATGCGGAGTTATAGGGCCACTTGGGCTGCCTAAGAAGCAGTGGATTGGATTGGACACGACCTCTCACTCAGTCATTTAAAAAATAAAAATATGTTCTCTTTGGTATTTTTCTACTACTAACCATCCATCTGTACTCTGCCCCCACTGTCTATCCTAGATTTATAAGCTTGGTTTACAAGCATACAAGTTATAGTAATACAAGACTCATAACCTTGGCCTAATCCTATTTAATTTGGAAGCAATATCTCACCATTTGAGTTCAGAAATATGTGGAACCAACAATAAAAAGTTGAATGCCAATTTTACGATAGCGTTTTGTTTTAAATTTTTAGGTTAATAACTGTCATTCCCTGAACTTAGAGCATGGTGACATTTTTATTCTTGAACTTTTAATTTCAGCGTATTTAGTCCTTAAATTTTTTTTTTTTTTTATAATTTTGGTCCTTGATGTAAAATTGACGAACGATTTTTGAAATTTTAAAAAGATAAATACGTGTCCATCAAGTGATAATTTAAAATTTGACGAAAAGAGTTACGTTTTATGTAAAATTTTCTCTTTTTACTATTAAAACCTATTAAAGAATATTATATTTTGTACATACTCTAATTATTTAGGTAAAATTTGCTGTTATTATGCGATAATAATATAATTATCTAGGGTAAATTTCAGAAATTATTCGTTAATTTTACTAGTTGGAATCAAAACTGTCAAAAAATTAAAAGTTTGGGGGTTAAATATGCCTAAATTAAAAGTATGGGGATCAAAATGTCACTATGCTAAAAGGTCGGAGACTAACAGAGTTATCAACCCTAATTTTTTAGATATGTATAAGATTTTGTCAAATTCAAATTCTTCCTTTATTTTGATAGGATTATGATGACATTTAACATTTCAAAATACACACTACTGCTCTACTAAAGAAACTTGATATATACAAAAATTATGGATCTACAATAACATTTATACAAAGAATAACAGAATTTATTATTTTCTCCTTTCCTAAGAAATGAGAATGAAAAACTAGTTATTGTTTTAGATTCTACCTATTTGATTTTCCGCTTCATTCCTTAACCCTTATTTGAAAAATGTTTTTCTTGTTATTACTATTTTTGTTTGGTGGACTTTTTCTAAAACGTCTCTTACCATTAATAGCTAGTGAGCAATGTTTTATCAACCTTCGTTGATAATCTTCCAAAAGACCTAAACAACGTGGGACTGAATAACTAATTACCTTTTTTTTCTTTTATTTATTTGTTTGAATTCATTTTCTAACATATCGTTACACTGATTGTGACATTAATCGGAGAGTGTGACATCTTCCTTGATTCAGTCTATAGAGCCGGCAGTCTAATTCATTCGATCTAAGTTGAACTTGATCATTTTCTTCCCCCTCTAACTGCTCTTTTATTTAAATAAATAACATCTTGACAAACTTTAATGCGAATCACATCATCAATCCTAGACGATGTCTTTTTTTTTTTTTTTATGTTTTAAGTTTCCTTACCAAACACTCAATTTCTATAGAAAAGATAAGGGCGTAAGAACAAAATATTTGAATGTTTTGAGTTTGTTTACGATCATGAGCAAGACAATTGTATTGTCAAGGATTCCTGAAAATATAAAAAAAAATAACCTTCAAAGTTCTACTTCATTTCCTTGTCAAACACTCAAATACTTTCTTTTTTTTTTTTCTTTACTCCCCAAGGGAAGTCAAACATTTAAGTTGATAGTCAAAAAATCTAAAAATTAATCGAGAATTAATCCTATTAGTTATAATACAACATTAACTCGTCTATAAACCTGTTGCAAGAACTAATTGTTAAAATCACACAAAAATAAAAAAAAAAAAAAAGGGGTGAGGAAGAAGTAGTAATAATTGGGTTTTGGACGAGTCCTTACGCCATGAGAGTTCAAATTGCCTTGGAAGAGAAAGGAGTCCCTTACCAATACGTGGAAGAAGAAAATCTATTCCACAACAAAAGCCCTTTGCTTCTCCAAATGAATCCAGTTCACAAGAAAGTTCCGGTTCTTATTCACAATGGCAATCCCGTTTGTGAATCCCTCATCATTCTTCAGTACTTGGATGATGTTTGGAACCAAAAATATACGCTCTTTTCTCATGATTCTTACGAGAGAGCAAAAGCTAGATTTTGGGTTAATTTCTTTGACAACAAGGTACTATTTTTTTTTCTTTTTTGAGAATTTAACAACTATATTCTATTTACTTCAATATTTTCTTTTCTTTTTAAATTTTTAGGCAGTGATATGTAGCTTCTCTTTTTTTTTTTTTTTTTTTTTTTTTTGATATAGGATAAATAGCTTCTTTGTATCGTGCTTTTAGTACGCGAATTATTAATGAGTTTTTTTTTTTTTTTTGAATAATGAGATAAATTATTGAGTAAATGTGAAACTCTAAATTATCCATATATAGCCGATGTGTCTAAACTTTATGATCACGATTTTATGTCTAAAAATGAATAGTACTAAGCCATGAAACTCCCTAGATGATAACCCCTTATTTTAACATTCTGAAAGAAAGTAAAATATTTGATATATTATCCAAGGGAAAACGAAATAATTCTTGAAAAGCTAAATTCAATAGTATCATAAAGCTAAAATATAACTTGTTAGGAATAAAAGGGCTAAGAGAAAATAATAATTTTTGTTTTGTAATCCACAGAATTTTGAAAGGTATGCAATTAACTCTTCATGATAATTATTAATTTTTCATTGTATGTATAATTAACTCTTCTCCAAGATGGGTAGGGATCTTTCATCTTTTCTACAATTGCCGTACGTAATTGTTAATATGAGTTCAAGTAGTTTTTATGTATAAATTCTCTCACAAGTTGTATTTTTTTTTTTTATCATGAAAAAATTAGTGTCGAAGTATACCTATACGTATATATGTTGGGTGATTAATTTATAGGGTTCTGAAGTTTGTTGATATATTTTAGATAGCAGACTGTGGGAGGAGGATGTGGGCTAGCAAGGGACAAGACCAAGAGGCAGCAAAGGAGGAGTTCATAGAAAGCTTGAAACTGTTAGAAGGCGAGCTCGGGGAGAGCCCGTATTTTGGAGGCGAAAAATTTGGGGTTTTGGATGTGGCTCTAATTCCCTTCTCTTGCCGTTTCTACACTTACGAGATGTTTTGCAAATTCAAAATAGAGAAAGAATGCCCCAAGCTTATGGAATGGGTGAAAAGGTGCAACCACAGGGAGAGTGTCTCCAAGATCCTTCCGGACCCCTACAAAATATATAGTTTTGTGCTTCATTTCAAGAAAATGCTTGGAATTGATTGAGTGAAAAACAGGATCTAGAAAAATGTTTACAGAAGTTGAAATAAATGCAGTACCAGCATTTTTATCGCCTACTTTTTTTTTTTTTTGGTTGCTTTTCGTTTTGTATATGGATTGAGATCGATGTAAAATACTATCTTTAATTGAGAAATTTACTGATAACACTTTATGTATGATAATGTTACTTTAAATTCCATTATTTACTTTTAAATTTTAGAATTCGTGAAAAAGAAAATTAACTTTTTAATGGTAAAAGTGTCAACATGTTTTAGCTAGTATTAGCTTTCAAAAAAAAGTTTTAGCTAGTATGTGAAAATGTCAATAAATCAATAAAATAAATAACCTCCATATGCAAAATTTCAGGCATGGCATCATGATGAACAATAATGTTTTCCACTTCTTTATATAATATAATAATATAAACTTTAGATTTTAACATTGATATGAGAAATTAGCATCACATTGAAATGCTTCTATACTGTAGCTTTACAACGGAACATAATCCTTAATTATAACTCCAAATACAATTGAGGTTATTAGGGGGATGCCACTACATTATTGTGTGGATCGATTTTTTCCATAAGGAGAAAACTTGTTGCAATTTTTATCATGTTTTTTATTGAAGAGAGAGAGGATCTAGAGGTGAAAGTTTGGGCTGTTTGGCCGGAGTTTGGGTCGACCGGCTCCGGTCTGACGGCCCAAAGGGAATTGGGGCGGGTCAGTCCTAAAAGAGATAGGGTCGGCTCAGTCTATTATTAAGTCTAAAAATTTTAAGATCAGCCCAATCTGACTTGAAATTTTATAAAGTAATTAAAAGATTTTAAAAATATAATGTTTGGGCCGGGCCGGCCCGACCGTAAAAGAGAGAGTCGGTCTAATCCGGCTTTAAGCTTAAAAAATTTTGGGTCTGGACTCAGCCTATTTAGTCCGGCTCAAACTTGCAACTCTAAGTAGATTATTCCCTCGATGGCTAGATATCTTCACCAAAGATCTCAACGCGAAAGGAGATCTACCTCTTCTCATATCTCGCAAGATCTTAGCATGGACGAGATCATTGCAATGGAGGAGATCTATCTTCTTCACACATGAGATCTCCACAGCATGTTCTTGTGCTGGCCGCCATCGACAACAACCTTTCTTGTGATTTTTGTAATTGTATTGTTATTATATATTTAGATGTTAAATAATTACTTTGATGATTTTAAGAGCACGGTCAGCAACAGCCAGTTGTTGGATTTCTAGTATCATGGTAAGATATCGTTAGTTTTCCGTCAATAACCGCAAAGTATCAAGGTATAATACCGGAAGTCTCCGGCCAGAAACTGTAGAGTATCACAATAGAATACCGATAGTCACTTGTCAGCTATTGTCAACTGGCAAAATTTGTAGTATCAAGGAAGACACCTTTTAGTTTCATGGTAGAGTACCGGTGGTAACCGGTAGTTATGCTAACGTCTGAATATTGTACTATTTAGAGGTATATTTGATATTTTAAATGTTTTGATGTGACATTCTTGGTAAGAATTCTTTTCTTGCGAAAAGAACCGATTATGATTCAAATTAATTTTATTTATGATGCACAATTCTTCTCATATATATAATACTAGAGTAACTATTAAAACTATACACCACTATATATATTAGTGTTGTAATTTTTGTGATAATGGTCATATGTACATATATCGCATACAAATATTGCATCTTTTTCAAATATTTAAACCTATTTCATAATGGTAAAAGTCTAACACTAGAATTTTCAGCAAGAAAAAAAAAAGGAAAAAAAAGTTTTTAAAAAAAAAAACACTAGAATGTGGGGTAATTTTGATAAATACTCCTTAAAAGTACATGAATCAGAATTTTTATTTTTTACTCTTGATTCATAATCTTTTTAGTCAAATAATTACACTAATTAAAATGTATTTATCAACAGTAAAAAATAAAGATCCAGACTTATGAAGAGTACTAGGTTATTGCACGAAAAGGTTATTATGAAGAGTACTAGGTTATTGCGCGATTTAGTTATAAAAACATGTAAAAAAAAAATTAAAATACGTAAATCAATAAAATTATTATGTGACGAAATATTTAGACCGTACAAATGGTAACATTGCAAGAGAAGAGGAATTGCAGCATTATGTGTTATTCCCAATAAATGTATCACTTACGAACACAACGGAAAAAAAAAAAAAATAAAGCACGTAGAGTGATTATAACAATACGACAAACAATTATTACAAACGTAGTTTTAGGGCTTGTTTAGTTCGCTGATTCGAGTTTTTAATTCGAATTGAGATGTGATTTTATGTGAGAGCTTTTTATTATAACAAAAAAGTTAAATGTGACTATTTTTGAGAACTTTTTACTGTAACTAGACTATTTCTGAGATTATCGATAACTTTACGGTAACCTTTACCTCAACCATAAGCGAGAAAGACCCATTTATATCATATATAAAGATGAAAAATAGTTATAAATCTAAAGTAGTTTCTATCTCCAGAAATTCATTGCACAGGATTCTTTATTATTATTATTATTATTATTATTATTATTATTATTTACGGAACAGATAAATCTTTATATACTATTACCCCAGTAAACATATAAATATTTTATTTCCCTTCTAAAGTACAATACACATGTAAATAAGCTCTTAAAAAAATTCATATTTTCATCAAAAACGTCCTTTACCCATCTTTCAATTATAGCGTTAACGCCTCACACAATTTTGCAGAGGTATCCAAGAATTACTAGTCACTTTCACTAATATATTCCGCTAACTTTAGAAGTACACCCATCCTTGGTTTAGCTAAAATTATATGGTCTTCTTTCATCAATTAGCTGCATATATTATTACACTTTTATTAAAACTTGTGACATTAATCATTAAGATAGGACGTTGTTATATAACTGAAATAACTATAGTTAATCCCTATAAGACGAAAAGAAATAAGGAACTATGATAAATCAAGTTGGGGTATCCGATTCTTTAGAGAAATCCTTGGACTTTATCGCTAGCAATAATAACTTTTGTCGTTTGACATTAATAATTTAATCAAATCCATAATTTGGCAAGGTTTATCATGATACAACTGAGGAGTTCTCTCTCATCCAACTCGTGTAATTGTGGGAACATTGTCTTCTCTCTCTCTCTCTCTCTCTCTCTCTCTCTCTCTCTCTCTCTCTCATCATGTTAGTCAATTAATGCATGTGACAATGTTAAAGACGCATACATAACTTTGAAAAGACTTAAACAAATACAAAGGGGGCTAACTATATACATTATTTTTTCGGTTTAATTAGATCAAGCAATTAAGTATATAATACGTTTACACAATGTGTACACATACATTGCACTCAAATATTAGACACAGAAAAAGACAAGGATGTCTGCCCTTGTTCTTTGTTTCTTTGTTTCTTTCTTTTTTTTGGGTGTTATACTCCATGTATAAAATATGTTTATGTTATGAATTTAATATTGGTGTATGTATATATAATTAGGTTGTATATGCATGCATCTGATAATGTTCTTGACTCGCAAGTGTTGAATTCCAAGTCATATTTGTGTGAAAAGGTTATGTTGTCTACACATGAGAAAGAGCAATTATAATTGAGGGGATAAGAAATTTGGATGAGACTTGTGAATGGATTCTATGGATGAGTCACTTATAAATTACAAATTATTATAATCTTCGCTCCATCTTCGGTGATGTGGAATAAAACCTAAATCATACGCATACTATCGTAATCTTATTTACAAGTCACCTTAAAAGTAGAATAACCAATTTTTTCACCACGTTTTATTTTCCTTTTTTTTTTTTGGGTTAATACCACAATTTAAGATTTTAATTTAGGAAAATGGTATTTGTTCTCAATATTCCTCAGTAGAGAAATCAGAAATGTACTGATGTGAATAGTTTATCTAACATGGTTTTAATTATTATGTAACATTCATGTGTCCTAATCATGTAATATATCCCTAATGTCTCTTTGTGGAGATACATGTTACATACTTATCTCTCATTCACTTTTAGGGTCAAATAATTGTCATTGGCCAATATCTACTCGAAACTCATTTGATATCCCATTGTCTTCAATATGGACATTTTCACCGGAAAGAATGAGAGAATATTATATACAGATATTGTGGACCAGACCAAGGAGGGCCCATAGAGATAATCCTTCTAATTCCTTAATTATTGGGCCTCAATCCTGGGCCATGAAGAACAACTGCAAATGTCAAACTCGTTCGATCATCTAGACATGCCTTGTGTCCTGTCTACCTCACCTCCCAACTTATCATTGAAATAAGATCAAGAAGAAACCCATCACCAAAAGAAACAAACAATAATGATAATATTTGAAGGGCTTAAAAAATTATAACGAAAAAAAAAAAAAAAAACATACCCATGGTGATGGAACGTGACCTTGCTTTCTCTGGGCCCTTAGTTACGTTACTAGAGCCAAGCCCAATATTTGAAGGGCCATCAGATCCTGGGCCCATTCACCTAAATGTGAAATGTGTCATGTCGTATTTATATTTTGTTAACATTTAAAACTCAAAGAAAAAAGATTCGAGAAAAAGTCAAGATATCCAAAAATGTGTACCCTAATTAAATTTAAAAAGAAAAAAGAAGAAATTTTCGTTAATATATATAATATAGCTATTATACATACATACATACATATATATATACACATACACACACATATATATATATATGAATATATGTATAATACCTATAAAAACATGCATTTGATTATATGCATATACACATGACACACACACATGAAACCACTCCTAACTGAGATCTAAGTGGAGATCCACTAGGATGATTAACAAGTAGAAGTAGTATAAATCTTTCTTTAGTCTTAGTTATCATGTGTAGCTCGTGCCACACATGTCATGCACGATTACAGAAATACATAGTTCTCCATCCATATCGACTATAGTTAATTGGAAAAATCAAGATATTCAAACACTTAATTAATAATTATTAAAGTAA